AGTGCACGGATAGAGTGTGAGGGTTTGTGATGACTCTTTTCTTTCTTTTCTTTTCTCAAAAATAATCTGTTAGGACATTTCACTATTAAAAATTATGCTTAAGTTATGACAACATATATATTTTTACATTGCTTTAACCCGTTTTTAAAGTCAGTTTAATTTTGTGGTTCTTAAAATTGAAAAAGGCTAATTTTTAATTTTTAATCTAAAACAATAAAATTAAAACATAATTTCATTGTAAGGGCATCTCAGTCATTTCCTTCCTGTATTTAGAATTGAACCCACAACTATGGGTTACCACTCTGACTCTTTAACCATTAGGCCAAGTCCCCTATGGTTAGAGGCATGTGTATTTTATGAAATGAGACATCATAAAATGATTTGAAGGCTTCTCATTATTTACAGGCCAATATATTTAAATGTACCTTTTAAAAGTTCAAGGATAGCCTATAAAACCTGAAATCACCTAAATCGTGAGAGCCCACCAATGGTCCCCGCAATGAAAACAGCTTTAAAAAGTTTGGTTATACATGTAAGGGCTATTTATTTTAAAGTCCTCACAAACATAATAAAAGAAGCTGATAACAACATCTTGGTTTATTCGGGCCCTTGAAGATTCTATTATCAGAAAAAAAAAAAAATTGATGAATGGATATGATTCGAAGTTGACATCCCTGTTCTGCTTTTTCATTGTATACACACATAAATACTTGCTTGACAAAGTGAACATGCCTGCTAATTTATTTGACCTGTGAAAAAATTGGTAAGGTGACCTCGCCACGGTATGCGGAATGTCATACCTGATTCTGACGCACCCAATACCTGACATCAACCTGTCACTCACGATCACTCTTTGTAAACTGAGTTTGCATGTTTAATGAAACAATTTGCTCGTGGCAGTTGCTGACTTTTGAAAGAATGGGGAAGTTTACCGCAATTAAGATGAGCTTGGATGAGGACCTCGTATATGTCGGAGATCACACACAGGCCTGAGAGTATATGACAAAAAATAGAAGGCAACAAAAACCTGTATAAAAAAAAAATCTCATATTCTCTCACCAGAGGTGAAGGCACAGTGAAAGGTCATGAAGTTTCATAAGTTCCTAATGTGCCCTATCGGTGAGTGATAATCATTTAACTGTCTTTTGAACCACACCTTTAAAGCCTTTGGGATATTTTTTCTTTGAGTGAATCCAAAACATTCTCTTGCGCACCGATGGTGTGTGTAATTTTCTGGGTTCATGGGGCAGGCAAGCAAGCCTGTGCAACTTGTGGTGTGTGTGTGTTTATAGACACACACACACCAATACACACATACATACACAAATGATATTGTCTTCCATGGAGACCGTCTAAGCACGTGTTACTGTTGGATTCTAGGTAACCACAACTTCATTTTCCACAACACATACAATATTTTGAAGAACACTAGGGTCCAAAATAACCCCATTGACTTTCATTGTATGAACAAAAACAGTTCATAACATCTTAAATATCGAATTATCTTCTTTTTGTGTTCGCAGAAGAAGTAAAGCCACACAGGTTTGGAATGACATGACGGTGAGTAAATGATGATATATTTCCTCACAGGTATAAATTAGTTTGGCAGGGGTGCTTGTACATACGCGTAAAATAAGTTTTAATCCATCTGAACTATAAAACTTGTACATTTATCATCCATTGTCACACAGGCCTACTATTGTCATATGTAAACCATACTTTTGTAAAATCATCCATTGTAAAAACTAAAATCAACTCACATAAACCACACACGAAACACATGCAGATCAACTTCATTTGTAAACAACAAAGACTTTTACTTTGATGAATCGTCTTGAAATAAATCATGTCCTGATGTACTGTAAGATGCTGGCCACATTTCTTTTAAGAGACCAAAATGTCTTGGAATATCCCTGGATATATTTAAAGGCCTTGACTGCTTCAACAGTCAGAAACTCAAATAAATATGAATTTAGCAGTTTGGCTCTGTGCGCGGCTCCAAACCGCTGCAGTCAGATTGAGTTTCGGCCCTTTGCTTATTCCTTTCCCTTACCATTCCAGGACAAAATGATTTCCAGCAGGCCGAAAACTTGACATTTAACGGCCATGCCAACAAATCTTTCTACTTTTTAAAAATGTAATCGAACACTAATAGAAAGAGAACATTTTAAATGGTTGGCAATTTGATTCCGTGAGCCTGCAAAAGTCACCAGCTGTCTTTCTTTGTGACCGCTGAGATGATCATTCTCCTCATACCTGTTGTGTTCAGCTCCAGTGACCATCTGATAACTTTAAGTTCAGGTCTTCTGTCTACGATGCGATGTGTGTGTGCACAGGTGTGCGTGTGGTTTATCTTTTTTTTTTTAATGCAGGTGTCATGATCTTTTTCTACACAAAAAGTTCAAAGTCATCTATTTATCTTCTTTCTGTGTTAAGATAGGATCCAGCACTTGATCTACACTGCTCTTATCTGGTTAACTCTAAACACTGACGAAGCCATCAAGCATTTCAAGAATTTGTTTGGTTGTCTGTGTTTCATTTAGCAAAAATAAAACATTTGGAACTTAAATAAGATGTAGTTTAATCTCGTAGCAAATCTAAAAATGTCTATTGTTTTACATGCACTCTCTCTCTCACACACACTTATATATGTATATATACTGTATATATAATTATTGCAGCCGCCTTGAAGGATGCTTTTAATCCCCCTTAAAATGCCAACACTTCCAGCTGGTATTGCACATGTTGGTGAGGATAAGATTTGTATTTAGCAGTTTCCAAAGTGACCTGCAGCATACTTGCCAGACATATCACAGATGATAAATGGGATTGGGCGCTTACAAGGTCACTTAGTTAATGTAGGTCATGTCAGTGGGTAATACCACTCATGGATCATCACTAAAGATTTGGATTACCATTTAACCACCACCAGATGCTATGATTACTCCAACATTCAAGCTTTGGCACATAAAATGACGGTAAGATGTTAGCGCACCGCTGAGCTAACAGCCGAGAGAAATGATACTGCAGCCGAGTCTACGCTCTCATTATCACAGAGGCTTTGGCTCGTATAGCAGTGTGTGGCAGCACCGGTGTTTGTATGTGTGTGAAAAGTATTTCATATTTGATTACATCCCAAAGACACCCCTTTACAGAGCTGTCATGAGAGAACACGCACCTGTTTTATGCCTCGTTTGGTTGATGCTATACGCTGAACCTAGCATTTCCCTTTCTTTTTTTCTTAATGAATTCCTCACATGTTCTCCTTCCTCCCACTTAGGTTCTGTTTTTGTTATCTTTGTTCCGAGTGTGTAATTTGATACAATGAGTAGTTGTGTGTTTGTTGTTGAGTGGATATGTGTTTACATCTGCAAGCACGAGAGGTGTTTTATCGCTACGAAGTGTGAAACCTAATTCTGTTTTAGAGTGTGTTTCTAACTCTTTACGTGACGGAAAGTGTATATCGTGACAGAGTTGCAAGGATTGCAGGTGCATGGTGTCATGTTAGAAGCTGGTCTCTGATACTTGCTGCTGGTATTAAACCGTTTGCTTCCAGAGCTTATAAGTGTATTTACAGTTTTTCTGTAACTTCCATCACTCACTTTCTCAAAACCTTAAACACAAAACCACATTTCCAAACCACATTCAGAGAACCTCTGACTCTCCTGGCAAAATCAAACAATTATCTCAAAACCATTTTATCTGTGCTCAAAATCAAAAAATACTTTCAGATCATACACACAGCGAGCCAAAATTATAAACACTACAGATCATTCATTAGCCACTACATACAACAATGGAGAAGACAGAATCCAAAGCATCCAGTTACAGGGAAAAAAAATAAGAGCTTGATTCTGCTTCAGCATCATGTCTTCATGCCGGAGGACTTTGTTCACATCAGACAATATCATCTTTAGAGGCAAAGGGAAAAATCCTAAAGCCAGATCCAGCCTTGACAACATTCTCCACACCTTCTCTTCCTCGTCCTCTTCCTCCGTTTTCACCACCTCTTTTACACATACTCTTCCTTCTCTCCCTCTTATGTTGTTACCATCCATTATGAACATTTTGAGTCAATTTTGGGACTCTGAACTGGCTTGTATTATGTACAGTTGGTTTGATCACATCATTAGAAATAAGTGTGAACAATTTTGAGTCGTTGTGTGTAACATTTGCTTGCCTGTGTTTAGCATTTTGAAACATAAGTGCATCACAGTGCGAAATGTGTTTCAGTGCGAACTGTGTGAAAATGTGTTTAAAGTTTTGGAAAAAAAAGACTACCTGAAAAACTACCTGAACTTGTTTAAAGGTTTACAGAAATAGTGATTTATTCGACAGATTGGTTTAGGCTATTGAGAATTTGGTTCAGAGAATGGGGTTTAGTTTAGTGTTTTAGCCATTCAGAAAAACTGTAATATTTAAAGATTTCATTGAAACAATGTTGGCGTTCTGAACCTGCATTTAGTGTACGTAAGTACATAGTCATATGAAAGCACTGTGTGTGTGTGTGTGTGTTTGAGAAACATTGAGTTAGATGACAATGTTTCAGTGCTTTCACTATACACTTACGTACACTAAATGCAGGTCAAGAAAACACAAAAATTGTGAAAATGACATCTTTATATACATATATAATCTTTTATAAGATCAGGTTGATCAGGAAACTGTGGTGACTATAAAATATCAAAATGTAAAAGATCTGATTTGAGAACAGACATGACTCTGGGTCGGATTTCTAATGGGATTGTGTGTATGTGGGTGTGCATCCATGTGAGAGGAATCCAAAACACGTAAACTTTGTGATTCCCTGTGTCTGTTGAGAGTAGCCATGTGTTTAACAACAAAATGTCTGCCCCCATTGTCTGTTCAGTGTGTGTGTGTGTGTATGTGGCCTTTTTCTGCACTTTTCAGACGCTCACCAAGGGCTTTTACCTGAGGTGATGTTAACTTGCCAAACCAGTAATAGAAAAATAAACAAACAAACAGAGGTAGGCAAGCACTGTTATTACAGAGAGGTTATGGAGAGGTGATGTATGTGTGAAAGAGTTAACCTAAAATCTGTTCAAGTTATTGCGGTTGTACAGCAGTACAGGTGAGGACTAAACGGAATTGTAGTGGGTCTAAATCCATTAGTTTGTGTATCAAGATGGTGGGATGACAAGTTTAGGATGTAGAAGAGAACATCGTGTTTTAACCCTCTCTGTCGCACGCTGATTTAGATGGTCCTCAGCTCTTTATCGCTGCTCCTCACACGCTACGGCAGCGCTGCTTGCATGCAGCCCGGAGAAAACATTACAAAAGGTATTTTCTTTAAAAAAAAATCTGATATTGGATTATCTGATATGAGTTGCACTCTATGCCACGTGTTGACAGCTTTAACTCCACTCTTTGCTGTGCAGGAGTCGTTTTTTAAAGAGAAATGTAAGCAACAAGCTCCCCCCACCCTCCACCCTTATGGTCTGCCGGTAGATCTGTGTTTACCTGGCGAGCGTAGCCGTTCTGCTGTCTTTGTCTAAACTTGAAAGGGGATCCAAACCCTCGCCCTCCTCACGCACTGTGCTTCGCACGACACACCCCACCCTCGCTTTACTGCTGCTGTGATTTACTGTAAAAGAAACCAGAGAGGGTGTTTGATATTCATATTTTGTTATATTAATACATAGTTTAAATCTGTTTTGAAGAACAGCTGTGTGTGATTATGCCGCAGAAATATGTGTGATTAAATGAAACACTGTCCTTACTGTAATTAACATCACAGCAATAAACTTTTTTTCTAGAAAATACATCAACATGCTCTTTAAATTGTGAAACTGAAAAAAGGAACTGAAAATGTATCCATACAATGAAAGTCATTGGGATCCAACCATATTTGGCCCCCGTTGATTTGAACAAAAAAACAGTTCTTAAATAGTAAAACAAAAAAATGAATCATCTTTTGTGTTCCGCAGAAGAAATAAAGTCACAGGTTTGGAACATCAAATAAAGGTGAATGATGACAGAGTTTTTATTTTCTTGGTTGAACTATCTCTTGAAGTACACTCAATAAAGTGGCAGATGCTATTGTTGGTCAATATAGTCCTGTATTGATCCAGTGTTACTCATTTATATTTGTCTGGGTTATTAATCACAGGAAGTAACATTGGAGCCAACGGATCTCCAGATGCAGATTACAGAAAGAACAGGGTAATTCAACATCGATCCATTAACACACACACACACACACACACACACACACATTTGTGCCCTGCTGAAAATAATCACCATGAATGATAAAGTAAGTGCAAGATAACTGCTCTTTATGAATAATGTTTTCCATTCCTTTTGTGTACACTTTACTTTTGTGTAAAGTACAAGTTCTAATGGCAGTGTTTTGCAGTGGGTTAGAAGGGAGCCACAAGTCCTGCTAGTCACCCAGCAAACAAATTTAGGTTCTGGGATTGGAACGTTAGATTTTGGTTCCCAGAACGTTCCTAGAATTTTCCCTTAAGGTTAAGGGAACGTTCCCGGAACATTCTCCTTATGTTATAAAAATGGAACCTAAAAATAACCTACATGGAATGTTCCTATAAGGTTCTTGTATGGTTCCCAAAAAAATAACTTCATGGGATCATTCAGGAACGTTAAGGGAATGTTCTGTGTTTGCTGGCCTATACCTTGGTGGACGGAGGGTGTTTTTGACACACACACACACACACACATATATATATATGTACATACTTTTATTAATTATCGGTACACTCTTTAATTATTCTTTCATTTTATAGAACATTGGAGTGCAAGTAGACTGGAAAAGAGGAATGGGATCAGGACATGACCCGGGCCAGACTCAAACCAGGGTCTTTGTGAGTCTTGTTATGCAAGTAAGAACTTTTTTGTATAGTCTATGAGTGTGCATGAGCATGTGTTTGTGTAGGTGTGGAGAAGACAGAAAGTGATTGTGGAATTCTTGGCTCATGTCAACACTTCATTACACAAAACAGTTCAGCTAAAGGTGAGACTAGATAATGCAATCAAATGCCAACAGACAATGTTTTGTCACCTGTTCTGCACTGTGTCTTGGCACTTTTTAGTTGACTTTGCTATGTTACCATTTTAGTATTCAGAAAACCCTTGTTAAGATAAATTGATTTGTATAGGTACCATTTTGTCAAGCCAAAAAGAATCTTAAAAGAATTTTCACAAATTTTTCCCCCACTTCTGCAGTTATCTTTCTCTTGAGTTTCACTCATTCCGTTTCCAAAGTCAAATGTTGTTAGATCTTCAATACGGCTGAATTTTTGAGAGAACATCATAGAAATTGACTTCATTAATTGATTACCAAAAATGGATTTGTTTGAAGTCACTAATATTGTGATTAGTGTTCCTTTGGTTGGGAACTTGGAGATTCTTATATACTACCTCTGTTCATACCAGTGAGTCACAAGATATTAAACCACTGTCGGCTACCCCCACTTGATACAACTCTGGAATTCGGCTCTGTCGCATACACTGAAGGCACCTTTATTCATGCCTAAAAGACCACAGATTCATGGGGACCTGCCTACCAGACAAATCAGCCCTCACACAGCTTTTCACAGCACTAAACTAAAGCAGTATGCCTGAACACAGAAGTATCAATGTCAAGTGTTTGTTTGTATTTCGTCTTCACAAATTGGTCACTTTGGGGAGATAATGGTACACAGAAGTCATGGTACGGTACATATCTTGTTTTTTAGGTCACAGGTCGACACAAGTTTAGTACAACAGAAGCAGCAACAAATCCCCAATGCTATAGGTTTCTTTTCATTTTATTTTGAACAGTAGTACAAATTCCAGTTTGTTCCATCTAGTGGCGTTCCATTCTAGTGCCTATAGGCCAAGACAACCCTACTTAATTGAACTCTTACCTGTTGTCTAACCACACACAATGATCTATTACATTTTTTTGGAAAACAAGCAGAGTGAGCACTAAATAGGCTTGCCTCTCCGTTGTGGGCTTTTTTTTTTTTTTTTTTTTTACCAATCAAGATATGCTGACTTTTGCAGTGGAGAAAAGCCATCCAGCTCTCAAGAGGAACCCTCACGCCTGGAGCGAGATTGCAATCTCCGTGGTTGCGCGAGAACTATTTAGCTTGTTTTACAAACACACTTCACAGCACACAGGGACGAACAAAAGGGCGTCGCACGAAACCCTCAGAGAAGTCACAATGGTTTATAGTAGCATTGTTGATCAAGCAATCAAACCATGATTAATATTTCTCCAGAATTTCCAAACCTCTCGTGCCGGCAAAAAAAACCAAAAAACAAAAAAAAACATTCACATGCACTTTTTAAAAAAAATTGAAATAGTTATTTGTGTGTGCATTTTGTGTGCAGGACTTGCACACTGTGTCAGAGAATCATGTTTTCAATTTAATGCTCTCCCTCTCAGACCCCTCTTACTAGGCACTCCATTCCCTCTTCATCTAAACAAATTCAAGCAGGGCTCGCGCTGAGTTCCGGCAGCCCTGGCGCGTGCTACCATAAACAAAACTCCTAGGTGGCCTGTAGATTCTGCAGAGAGAACAACATTTGCACATGTACAAAAGGCTCAGATATAGGCCAGATATATGCACAAAAACACCAAGATTCTCTTCTCATCTGGTCTGAAGTATAGCAGTGAAATGTATTCGTTTATAAACAGACTGAGCCTTAAATAAATAAATCAGAACTCTCTCTCAGTGGTTCTCAACCAGGAGGGGCGGGGCCCACTAGGGGGCCTCAACAAACTTCCAAGGGGGTCTCAAGATTACTTCAAATGATTTAAAATAAGACAAAAAAAAGCATTAAAATAGGCTAAAATATAGATCAAAATCTATATATTTCTATTTGGTTATTTTTTAAGTTATGCTAAGCTCTAAAATATTTTATTGGGTAGAAATTGTTAGTGGAAAGGGCCTTCAAATATTGTTGTGGACTTCTCTAGCCAATTGTTCGCTGTCTCAGATTGAAACTCTTGTTGATTTCGATTGTTTCAATGACTGCCACAAAAGATATTTACCCACAAAGTTTTGGGATTGGTTACTGTGAACACAGCGCAAAATGTATGTTTTTAAAAAATAAACAAAAAAACATATTAAGTGTATTATAAAATCTAAGTGTATATAATGTGCAATGCATACTTTATTTAAAAATAGTGTGTTTTCAAAAAAGTGGGTCCGATTTATCTGGATTCAACCTGCTTATGTGTCATAGCACTGCACTTGTTTGCTGTGATATGCTTCCACATGAAATAAACAAACATCTAAGACAACAATCAGGCTCTCAATTGAAGATCAGTGAAGAAATATGATTGAAGAGGCTGGACCTTCTTAAGAAAACTCTGAATCTCTAAATCCCTATTAGAAATAAAAAATACTTTGAGGGATCAAAAGACTTCAAATGCATGCTTCTTCTCAAGACAGATGTCAAAAACTTGTCACGTTTAGACTTGTCACGTTTAATTTGTTGTTTGTGTGTGCATATAGGCCCTATTTGTTCTGTACTGCTGAATGAGACTGCTATGTACAGTACGTCAATGTGAAACATAATCTTAACAAATTGTAAAAATATAATTACTTTTTTTCCTACTTACCTGTGGCTGCATCCGTAAACTTAGGCAGCGGACATGTTCGTTAAGTAGCCGGACAACGTGCACTCAGTTTAGCCAATCACAACACACCGGCCCAAACTAACCAATCTGAGCCCATTGCCTGTTTCTGGGGGAGTGGTTTCATAGACTCAGGAAGTCAACCGGTGTTTCAAATGACAGAGGACAAAGCGGCTTACAATAAAGGTGAAATTTATGAAAAATAAGACTTTTTAAAAAAGAAATACCATGAATGCATGTTATATTGCACCCCATCAACACAATCATGCAAAGAAAAAAAGCAGTAACCCCCCCCCCCCCCCCCCCCATCTTTAATGCTCTTTTGAGATTAAAAAAGAATCTAGCTACTCCCTGACTAAAATAGTGTTAACGAATGTGATAAACATATTCGCTGAAGAAACCATGCCATTGTATCTTTTTACAGGACTCCTCAAATGTTCAAAGCTGTATTACCAAGAGAGCTACTGAGCAAGTTGGGCCGTTGGAAGAACAATTGCCATGGAGCTGGATATGGAAACATTAAAAGGCAGGCCTAGTTTATGAATCATGCAATATGGTAAAAGTGTCTTTATCAATCGACAATCTGTGGCTACAATCATAATTTGCGTATAGGTTGTAAAAAGTAACATTTGGCATCTTACATTTGCTAAAATTGTTAGTAGCCTAGAAGCATTTTTAAACAATGAAGTTGGACATTGTTTTATGCATAAGGAATACACCTCATTTGAAATTCTGGATTATCTTTTTTTCTGTATTTGTTAAAAATATGATATCCTGATCAAGTTGCCCAATACATTTTTTTTCTTTTAAGGCTATGCATGAAAACACACTGTCATCATTTCTGGAACTCAAACTCATCTTTTCCATTGAACCGTATATGTTCCAATCAAACGTTTGCCACATAGAATTTGTGAAATTAGGTCAAAAGTTTGCCCGATTTGCTTCTTTGTATTTCATGCCAAATATACATACTACAATGATGTGATTATCTGATGAACTCTTTATTTATTTATTTATTTATTTTTTACCTTCTCCACCTTCCAGGTGAGAGATCAAGTGGGAAACATCTAAATGGATGTAGGTGTCTACACTGCAGTGAGGTGAGTGTGTCTGAACCCCAGGGTTTCTCTTCCACACCCTGAAGTCATGATGACAGATCTCAGAGTGCCTCATGTGCTGCCTTGTTGAAGATGGTACTGATTGAATTTTTGCACCCCTGCCCTGCAAGATATCTTAAAAGGTGACGCCTTTTAAGTTATCTTGACCTTTCCTCAAGGCATTTAGCACATTGACATACTCACCGAACACAAAATAATGTGTTGATGTTTATTGGCACATCAAGCCCAGATCCTCTCATAGGTAAAACAATCCCTGAAGGGCTCACTTTGGTAATTGTTAAAGATTGAGACTGATGATTTAAACAGTACAGTTCACTGACTTGTAATTACCAGTTTGCTGTAGCAACGTTTCGGGTTGCAGACCCCTGTCAGGTGTGACTAATGTCTCCAACAGAACTGTTGCCTCACTAAATTGTCCACCAAGACAGTATTATGGACTTTCACTTTTCAATACGTCTCGTGCCAATGACACTAATGATGGCTGTCAGACAGGTTCAACTCTGATAAACTGTGCACGTGGTTATTTGCAATGTAATGCATTGAAGTATTCATGTGTGCTTCACCTTGAACCTTTGCTTCACTTTGAATATATGTTGAGAGTGATTGAAGCTAGGCCTATACAAAATCCAGTAATTATCTTCCAGATAACTGTCTTTCTTTTTTAGACAATATGGTTTTCTCCCCACAAATTTCAGAAACCCAATTGGACAGTATTAGACATTATCACCGATAGACTACAGTTAAAGGGGTTGATTTTTAGGTTCGGAGAGAAATCAATACTTTTATTCAGCAAGGATGCATTAAACTGATCAAAAGTGACAGTAAATTCATTTATTATGTTACAAAGAATTGGATGCTGTTTTTTTAGCTTTCTATTTATCAGAGAATCCTGACAAAATGTATCAGGGTTTCAGAACAATATTGTTTTCAACATTCACGATGATCAGAAATGTTTCTTGAACAGCAAATCAGCTTATTAGAATGATTTCTGAAGGATCATGTGACACTAAAGACTGGATTAATGATGCTGAAAATTCAGCTTTGCCATCAGAAGAATAAATAAATTGATTGCAATTGTAATAAATTAGTTTAAATTGTAATATACACACACCGATTATATATATATA